GCCACAGCCGGGGCAGCCGGCGTGTAAGTAAACAAGTTCCATGGTTTTAGTTATTTGTCAAATTTTACCCGTGCGCATTGCTTTCACGCAGCAGTGCAGTTGGTGCATTGAACATGCTTAAATTTGCTATTCGGACGGTACATGTCAGAGCTTATCGAGATGGATGTCTTGAGGGTCGTAGAATGAAATGAGAGTTCGAAGTCATCTGAACGTTGGATACCTGGCGGCAGAGACCGGGGTAGTAAAGCGAAGCGCTAGTCTAGTATCTAGTTAATCCTCTCGGAGGAATGTGCGATGATCACCCTGGCAGAAGAAGACCTATGATTAGTGGACCTAGTCAAACCTCGGGTTCTAACTCATTTACAACAACGATCTGGGATCTCTTGCGTCCAATTCTCCAGCTAACCGGAGCAATGTATGATTGTTGCGGATCTTCTCATAATTGTTGCGGAACTCACTCATATTTGTTTGCGGCCTCCCCATATTGCTTGCGGCTCACTCTTTATCGCCGGACTCACGACTATTGTTGCGGCCTCCCCAAATTGTTGCGGTGCGCCTCATCATATTATCGCGGACTCACTCATATTGTTTTGCGGCATCCAAATTGTTGCGCGGCTCACTCATATTATCGCGACTTCACGCGTATTGCTTTCGGACTCACTCATATTACTCGCGCGACTCACTCATATTGTTGCGGCCTCCCCAAATTTGTTTTGCGGTCGCTCATTCATATTATCGCGTTACTCACTCATATTGGTTTGCGGCCTCCCAATTTGTTGCGGACTTCACTATATTGTTGCGGGACTCCCCATGATTGTTGCGGCTCCCCGATATTGTTGCGGACTAACTCATATTGTTGCGGAACTCCCCTATATTGTTGCCGCCGACTCCTATATTATTGCGGACTTCCCCCTATATTTTTTCGGACTCACTTCATATTGTTGCGGACTCCCCATATTGTGTGCGACTCACTCGTATTGTTGCCGGAATTCCCAATATTGTTGCGGAACTCATCAGATTATCGCGGACTCCCTCTATTGTGCCGGCGTCCACTCATATGTTGCGGACTCACTCTGATTATCGCCGGAAGCTCACTCATATTGTTGCGGACTCCCCACAGTTGGGTTGCGGACTCATCATATTATTGCGGACTCCCCTATATTTTAGTGGGACTCACTCAGTATTGTGCGCGAGCTCCCCATTATTGTTGCGGATCACTCATTTATCGCGCCGACTCACTCATATTGTTTGCCGCGACTTCCCCGATATTTTGCGACTCCCGCATATTATGCGGACTCCCTATATTGTTTTCGCGACTCCTATATTGTTCGGGATCCCATATTGTTGCGCGTACTCACTCATATTATCGCGACTCACTCACTATCTGTTGCGGACTCCCTTTATTTTGTGGCGGCTGCCCTATCTTATGGGTTGCGGACTTCCCTATAATTGTTTCGCGACTCACTCATATTGTTGCGGACTCACTCATATGTATCGCGGGTACTCACTCTATTGTTGCGACTTCCCATATTGTTGCGCGACTCACTCATATTTGTTTGCAAGACTCAACTATATTGTTTGCGGACTCCCCTTATTGGTGCGAACTCATCCTAGTTGTTGCCGACGCCCCCATATTGTTGCGGGACTCCCCCTATATTGTTGCGGACTCACTCTATGTGCGGACTCACCTTCATATTGTTTGCGGACTCCCTATATGGCTGTTGCGGACTCACTCATTTGTTGCGGATCCCCATATTGTGTTGCGGCTCACTCATATTGTGCCGACGCCTCAATATTGTTTGCGGACTCACTATTTATCGCGACTCATCATTATTGTTGCGGGATCCCCAATATTGTTGCGGACTCATCATATTGCTTGCAGGGACTCACTCATATTGTTGCGGACTCGCCCTTATATTGTTGCGGATTCACTCATATTGTTGCCGGGACGCCCCATAATTGTTGGCGCGACTCCCCTATATTGTGCCGGACTCACTCATTATGTTGCGGAACTCCTATGATTGTTGCGGAAGCTCACTCATAATTGATTCGCGGACTCCCCTTATATTGTTGCAGAGCTCATGTGTGTGTGTGCGCGTGTGGGGGGGGCATGTGTGTTCACAGATGTTACCTTTTACCGCACACATGACTTCAGTAAATGAAAGCGCTGCGAAAATGCTTATTGCTGCGTTATACACGTATTCATACGAGTTAAGCCCCCACGTGTGCTTCGTATCGTTTTCCAAACCAGTATTGCGTCGAAATGATATGGATTAAAATTTACGCTATAATAACTAATGTCATTTTGACATGCTTGAAGCGTGAGATTTCTGCCAAAGTTTCACACACTCGAGCTTCGGGCATGTTTGAAATCTAGCCGGATCACCGTCGTGCAAGCTCGTTTAAATGAAAACCGATTATAATAAACAGGCGGTTATCGAGATGAAGTCTCGCCAACTCGCCATCATCGGCCATCATGGCCATCAACGGGCGGACTGATCAAGCGTGGAGATGAAATGATGGGAGGACGCGTCCACTGAGCATGTCACCACCCGCGCGTCGATCGAGCGGTAGTTTCATGTTTAATTTACGCAACGTAGTTCCAATGCGCGCTAAACGTGCGACGACTCTCGAAACGTATTTTAAGACGGCGTACAAGACGTATTACATGGCCCAACATCACGGCCGCAAGCGCTGGAAAGATGTATGAATCAGGCGGAGCGATGCGATTTCTATGTTAAAATTGTCGTTTTTAGTTATAACGCCTCGCGGCGTGCAAGACAAACTGTGTGTACACGCGGGTGATTTTATCCGCGGCCAAACGACCGCCAGCAATCAAGCTTTAATCTCGCAAAACGTGAAAATATTCTTAATTCTGAATTTCACGCAAATATTGATCGATATATAGATTCACAGACGGTGCCGTTGATGATGCCTTCCTCCAAGTACGCACATTTTTGTTCCAACGTCGACAGGAACTGGATCCGTTTTAGGGCATCCCGTGTCAGTAACTGTTTTTAAATTTTACCACTTGATGATCTCTATGTAGGTTATTCTATATCACCACATGAATCGACTTACACGGCGGAGAGCATTCCATAATATGTTCGCCGCTACACATTTACAGCTATACGCTTAAGCTTCTACATATATAATAAAAAATATTACGTCTACTAACGATGTTTGCCTCAGTAGAACCGCTTTAAAATAAAATCTTTAAGGTCTTTAGATACAGATTCGATTTGTTTAGATTTCGTTTTACAAAAGTATGTTTGTTTACTAAAAACTAATTACATTTGAAAAAGCTACACGTGGTGAATTTAATGCAATAAGCATCAGCCGACGTGCGATCTCTCAAGGACGCGTGCACGTGCAACCCTTTACGTTTACTATACTACGCGGTAGATGGCGCTGAGTAATTTGGTTAGAATAATTTTTTTCTTCAAAAAAGGCTCATTACCTGGAGGACAGTCTGCGACGCGGCATTTCGTGAACACGCGCTGCTTGCCAGCGATGGCTCCTTCACAGTCCGCGCCCCCGTTACGTGGTGCTGGGTTGTTACAGTAGCGTATGCTGGCCATGCCCCCTTCCCCACACGTCACAGTACAGCTCGACCGGAGCCAGTCCGACCAGTGGCCATCCACTAAATAGTGAACGAGTGCACGACTATTCACTACAGGGAGCACGAATGTACAACTAGTCTACACTACAACGTCAACGTCTGTTCCGTGTGTGTAACCGTTACAGCTTCAAGTTGATCGAATGTAGACTATTCCCCTTAATAGTTATTATATAGACGAAATATTAGCTCTGAGTTCAAGAGTATGTTAGCGTATACTTATAGTTCCTATAGAGTATGGTTCTTACGTAAAATACTGAACAACTTTACTAGTAAATAATGAACCAAGAAATTCTGCATGAAATCAAATTTAGACCTGTTATGACTAAAATATGTTCGTTAAACCTGCATTAACGTTTCCTACTAATAAGCAATTTAAACAATTTTATCAATATTATAATAATATTTATCAAGAAGAAATTTATCAATATAAACACATTTTCGTTTCACGACAGTTTCGCAGTAGTCATGCAGCAATTCGTTTCTATAAAAAAAGAGAAAAAAATTGTCGATGATTAATGTCATTGCTTCGAAGAGCTAAGTGTAAAATTTACGCACAGCGACTGTTTTTACCTGGTTCTAATACAGGTGGCGTCCGGCACTGCCCGAGGTTCAGCGAAACGTCATCAATAGCAGCGTCGGTGACGTAACTCGTTCCACGCACACCTTCTATCACGATCTGGGTGACAAAAATATGTTTGGCGAGTCAGTAAATAAAATCATTGACTCTGATACACAATGCACTACCAATCCATGATAATTAATGCACAACAATATCAACAACAACAACAACAACAACAACAACAACAACAACAACAACAACAATAACAATAACAATAATAATATTAATAATAATAATAATAATAATACTAATAGTGATAGTATAAACTTTGCACGTATATAGTTAAATATTTGTTTTTAAACCAATCAAACAATAATTCCTATTTCTAAACACAGCTTCCCCGCATTTAAAGAAACTTTAAAGAGACTGGGGAAAATGCGTATCTGCACTGCGAAATCATGGTAGGGAGATTTGATCGAATGTTAATCGAGTTAGTCTTTTCATACCTGAAACGAGTCATTTAGCCTGGGTATCGCAATCTGACCTAGAAACCATTGGTTTCCCTGGTCGCCATTTCTTACAAACGAAGATTCGATGTCCGTCAGTGATTGTGTTTCAGGTTTCACATAGACGCTCAGAGTTCCTATAGGTAAACAAATGCATTTTATTAACAACATCGAACCTCTTCTAAGTTCTGTTCGTGAAATTGCGTGCATTTACTGACCCTTATACCTCGTAATGTACTATGCTGTATAATCAAATATTTGACTTTTTAGTATTACAATTTCTTTGTAATTCTACCAAGATCCACAAATAAGAAGAATCGCATTAGTTCGCCTGAATAATGCAATGCTAGTTTAAATGTAGGGATTTACAGATTTAAAGCGGCATCATATATGGATAATATCACATTATCGTAATCCGGCCGTAGCGTCTTGTGGTATTAACTCTGCAATTATTGGTATCATGACGATTCGTGATAAGATCCACGAATAACTCAACAAGCGTCATCTTTACTTACAACAATCTTTACTCACCGTTCGTATATCGTACTTCTCGTTTATAACTGTTGTATATATAACTCGAACAATTCGCCAGTACGCCAGAAATCGTAATCACGCGCCTATACGCATCCGACCCTCTCATTGCATTCGTGAAGCGAAGACAGAACGCCTGTACGTATCGCAGAATCAAGAACACCTGCACGCACCTATCGTGAGTCCGAACATGTGATACCAGAACTCGAAGCACGCCGGTGTCTTGTCAGCCGAGTAGACGGGTGAATGTAGACGGGCCGTGTCGTTCTCTCTCCGCGGACTGCTGCCTTCGATGTACATGTACCAGCCTGCTGAGGAATAAACGCTGATTCGTCATCATCGTAACACGAAAGCAGCATGGCCGAACATCGCATGAAATGTTGGACGGGAAGGAATCTAGACATTCTAGTTGAACTGCGTCTAATAACAAATCAGCGAATCATCAAATGCGTATATAGAATACGTACATGTATACACATACACGCGCAGTGCGCGCGTGTGTGTGTGTGTGTGTGTGTGTGTGTGTGTGTGTGTGTGTGTGTGTGTGTGTGTGTGTGTGTGTGTGTGTGTATTTGGCAACGTTAACGGTAAACTGCCAAGTTTTTAGAAAGCATGCCTCTCCTGGCTTTCCCTTCTAGGAAAAATGAGTTGAAATGGGACAATAACATCAGGAGCGTATAATGACAAAAATGACAAAAAGGACATAAGCGATGAATTTGTCATTATACGCTCCTTATAACATGAATATAATATGTGGTTTCGCATCACATGCTACTTTTCATGCTTACTACTAATAGCGCTGATCGACGGCAACGAGAAATGTACATTATTTCAATCGGCGTCGCGGACAATCAGGACATTGAAAGAACTGGGACCCCTCTTACTATACAAGGCGGTGATGCGTTTCACATTTATTGTGGGAGTCTATTCTTGAGTATGTTCTTTCCATTTTAAATGCACAATTCCAACTAACTGAGATTTAATTTAGCAGATAGTAGAGCCACATCTGACACTATTAGCTATTGCACGCTTTGAGACGAGGCTTGGAGTCGGACGATTTTCCGCTTTACAATTACTGATTACTGAGGCGAGCCATTGCAATCAAGATTATGCATGTCTTGATTATGCTCTAGAATGCGTGCTCAATACAGGTGTATTCAACTAGGTTGTATATAAATGTGTTTTGTTCAACATGTCATACATTGCCGTCGCGTACGACACTAGCACCGATGAAGGGTAGCGAAAAATATACATGATTTCATTCTGAGTGGCTGGTAATCGGGATGCTGAGAACATTAGGCTCCCTCTTATTATGTAATTCATATTTTTTATAGAAACCTAATCCGTACTACCTGCTTTTCTTTTTAAATACATAATTCCAACAATTTTTTTGTTTTTGTTAGCGGCTAGTATGCGCGTAGAACATCTGACCTTATAATCTATCGTACGTTTTAATTGGGGGTTGCAATCTTTTCTGCATTATAATGAATCAAGCGAGTATGTCATGTATGAGTATGTGCTCACTACAGGTGTATATTCTCAACAATATTATATATGAATGTTGCGTTCGCAACTTCTCATGCGTGACACCAGCGCCGACTAACGGCAATGAATAACGTGCGAATGCAGGATGTTCGGAAAATCATTATATAAAGGGGACAATGCGTTTCACGTATTTTGTAGAAACCTATTCCCTTATCTTCTTTTTAACTGAATAACTCCAACGAAATCTTAGCAAATAGTAGGCATGCGTACAGACGTATCTGACCATACAATCTGTCGCATGTTTTTAAAAGGTTGAAATAATTTTCTGTTCATAACTAACAAAATGTGTTATTGGGATCAATAATTTTCAGATCTAGATACTTAGGTGTATATGCGCCCTACATGTGTATAATGTTATCTTAATGATATAAGAATATATTTCGTTTATCACCATACGACACTTCTCAAGCGCGACAATAGCGCCCTCAAATGGCAACGTAAAATGTACGGAATCTGGATTTTGAGATTTTGGCTCCTTCTTCTTACATAAGGGATACAACGCGTTTCGCTTTTTATATTATTCACATATCTATCCCATGTTTTATGAGTTTTGGAATATTTTATTCAGTCTAATTACTGAAGTGAGTCGTCGGTATCAACATGTTTCATATCTAACTACTCCTCAGTATGTACTTACTATACTGGTGTACAATATTAATAAAGTTATGTATGCAGGGTCGCAACTTGCAGAAAGGGGAGAGGGGCCTCCGTATATACCTCTTAGGGGGTGGGCAGCAGCAAAGAGAAATTTTCCCAGAGTCGATCAAAGTGCACAGAAAAAAGCGCGCGTGGCATTTCTCCTCAGGCCAAAACGCACGCACACACGTACACGCGACGGCGCGCACGCGGCACTAAACACACACCCATCACACACACACACGTACACGCACGCGCGCACACACACACACACACACACACACACACACACACACACACACACACACACACCACACACACCACACACACAACACACACACACACACACACACACACACACACACACACGCGCACGCACGCACGCACCACGCACGCCGCACGCACGCACGCACACACGACACACACACACACAACACAGCACCACATATATATATATATATATATATATATATATATATATATATCAGAAAGAGAGAGAGCCTTACCTATTGTGAGTTTTCATGCCATGAGTATGGTCAAACGT